GACAAAATGATGTATGAGAAAAATGTGGAACAAACTTGAGCCATTTTGAATTTTTTTTCCCCATGAAGACAGGAACCATGTGGGATGTTCTTTTAATAGGTTTTAAGCCAGTAAGAGATCTTTAAAATTTTTCATTTTGTTTTCTCAAGTTTACTGGTGTTTTTTTCTTTTTTTTAAGAAAATTAAATGTATTGAGGTAACATTGGTTAATAAGAATTCATAGGGTTCAAGTGTACAAATCCATGATACTTCATTTGTATATTACATTATCTGCCCACCACTCAAAGTCAAACCTTATTTCGTCAGTATATATTTGACCTCCTTTACCTTTTACTACTCCCTCACCCCCTTTCCTTCTGGTAACCACCATACTGTTTTTTTGTGTCTATGAGATTTTGTTTGCTTTTCTTATTTGTTCATTTGTTGCTTTCAGTTTTATATTCCACATATGAATGAAATCACATGGTTCTTAACTTTTTCTGTCTGATTCATTTTGCTTAGAATTATATTTTCAGGGTCTATCCATGTTGTCACAAGTGGCAGTATTTTACCTTTTCTTATGGCTGGGTAGTATTCCATTATATATATGTACCACATCTTGTTTATCTAATCATCTATTGGAGGAAATTTTGGTTGTTTTCATGTCTTGGCCACATGAATAATGCTGCAGTGAACATAGGGTGCATATATCTTTGCAAACTGTTTTTATAAAGATCACTATGGTTATATCATGGAGAACAGATTGGAAAGAGGCTAGATTGGATGCAAATGATCACTTAGAATGCTACTGTAGTAGCTAGGTTGAGCAATAATAGTAAATTGACTGGGATTAAAGTGTTGGAAGCAGAAGGAAACAAATTTCTATTTTGTATGTATGTATTTTCTCTTAAAAAATAGAGGTATAATAATAGACAACATTGTTAATTTCAGGTATACAACATAATCTAACAATAAAAGCATAATATGCTAATTAGACCAGATGTCCTTCTGGACAACCTTCCAGTCGAAGCCAGGGTGGCAGGGGCTGAGGCAGAGGTGGCAGAGGCCCCCTGCCACAGCGGCAGGTGGAGGCCAAGCCCCTTGCATGAATTTTGTGCATCGGGTCTCTAGTGATCCAATATTTGTATATATTGTTAAGTGATCACCACAAGTCTAGTCAACATCTGTCCCCATTCATAATTATAAAATTTCTCTTTCTTGTGATGAGAACTCCTAAAATTTACTCTCTTATCTATATTGCTATTTATTTTATAACTGGAAGTTTGTGCCTTTTGACTCCTTAGCCCTCCCTTCTGGCAACCACCAACCTGTTCTATTTATGAGCTTATTTTTGTTCTTATTAGTTTGTTTTTCAGATTCCACATATAAGTGGCATCATACAGCATTTGTCACAGTATTTGTCTTTCTTTGTTTGACTTACTTCACTTAGCTTAATGCCCTCAAGGTCCATTCTTAATTTAAGCATAGTGGCTGCAATTTTTCTCCTTTCACAGCCAATGTACCATATTTTTCCGTGTATAAGGCACTGTTTTTTTCTAAAATCGTTTGACTGAAAATCAAGGGGTGTCTTATACATGGAAGTCAGCCGAGGAGGGAGCCCATGGGGGTGTAGCTGCCCATACCTTGTCAAATAGGCTTCCTCCAATCACGAGCCTTGTTGTTACTGATGGCAGCTGATGCTGTAATTGGAGGTGGAGGTGGAGAATGCGCAGATGCAACAGGGACCGGAGCATTCTGAGCCCTTAAAGATGTCAAAAAATAAAAAGATAAATACGTGGAAGTCAGCCGAGGAGGGAGCCCATGGGGGTGTAGCTGCCCATACCTTGTCAAATAGGCTTCCTCCAATCACGAGCCTTGTTGTTACTGATGGCAGCTGATGCTGTAATTGGAGGTGGAGGTGGAGAATGCGCAGATGCAACAGGGACCGGAGCATTCTGAGCCCTTAAAGATGTCAAAAAATAAAAAGATAAATACGGGTAAGCGATTGTCTTACTCTGCAAAATTCAAAATGAATGTAATGAGCTATGCAAAAGAGCATGGAAATAGAGCTGCAGAGAGACAATTTGGAGCTCCTCCCACTGAGTGTATGATCAGACAGTGGAGAAAACAGGAAGAACAACTCCTTGAGAAGCCAAAAAAGAAGAAGGCCTTAAGAGGGAAACCAGCAAAATGTTTAAAATATTGATTTCTTAATTTGGGGTTGGAAAAGTGGAGGGCGTCTTATACATGGGGGCATGTTATACATGGAAAAATACAGTAGATACCTTTCTCTATGGGGGACAGAACCTTATGTGTTCAACAGACAGATCTTAGTGCTAGTTGTTCACAGGGCAGATCTGCTGAGGCTGATTGTCAACTTGGTAGAGGGTTGAAGTAAGTGGGACTACTCTCTTTGAATCTCCTACTTACTAGTCCTTAGCCTGAAACTGCCTCCTCAATCCAGCCTCATTAACAGGCAGTGAAGTAGAAGACCGTTCATTGCTTGCCTGACCGTACAAATTTGGTCAACATGTTGACTCACAATTCCCATGGACTTCTCTCAGGTCTTATTAACTAGCCTCTCATTCTATTTCTAAAATGATTTTTCTCTGTCAGATTCCATTGTCATTGCCAAAATTATCAAACCTTGTGAAGGGTTTGAGATTTCACTCTTCATGCAAGCTAACCAGTTAGCCTGCCACTGTATCATGGACACTATTAAAGGACACAGGAGTCTTGGATTACAAAAAGGATGTCATAATTCATGGCAGCAGCATTAGCCAGAATGTCAGCATTGGTGCCAGATAACCAGCCCCAGTTTTCATAGAATTCTACAAAGAGAGCTAATTGATGCCTGCCCTCTGAATTAGGTGTATTAGTTTAGATATCCAGAGCAAAGGCACTCGGGTGTCTTTCCTTGTAAGATGTGCAAAAGTGCTGGACACCCAAGGGGAGTAGTCTCCATGTACCTTATTTTGGAGTTGTAAAAACGTTTTTGATAGAGGTTTTTTCACATTCCATTTAAAAAATTATGGTAAAGCTCTAGCTGGTTTGGCTCAGTGGGTAGAGTCAGCCTGTAGACTGAAGAGTGCAAGGTTAATTAATTCCAGTTCAATGCCTGGGTTGCAGGGTTGGTCCCCAGTGGGGGGCATGCAGCAGGCAGCTGAGCAATGATTCTCTATCATCATTGATGTTTCTATTTCTCCCTCTCCCTTCCTCTCTGAAATCAATTTAAAAAGAAAGAAAAGAAATATATCTCAAAAAATTATGGTGAAATGAAATCTTAAATGAACGTTAATATTAAACTTGTGGGTTTTTTTCCTAACCATACCCCCATCACTTTTTTTTTTTTCAGTTCAGTTTGTGTCCTTGCTTTTTCTCACCTAGATTACCATAATTGCCTAACGGGTCTCACTAGTCAGTAGTCTTGTTCTGTCTGTCATCAATACCTGTGTCAGAGGGATCTTTTAAAATGCAGATCTGATGATGTTACTCAATTTAAATTTTATTGGTTTCCTATTACTATTCGGACAAATTTAAATTGTTGAGCAATTGTGTAATTTTTCTTATGCTAACTACTATCCAGTTTTTAAGTGTTGACAAGTAAACTTAAAAATAATTTTAAGACCATAAAAGCCAATATTAGCTAGGCTGTGACATCTGCTTTTAGTTTCTCTTATACTGTTGTCTGCAACATGCAGTTCTTTCTGCCTTGAATAACTTCCATATTCATCCTGAAAAACTTACCTCCTCTATAAAGCCTTTAAGTCAGAACCTTTAAGGTGGAGAACCTTCCTAATGCCGCGACCCTTTAATACAGTTCCTCATGTTGTGGTGACCCCCAACCATAAAATTCTTTTTGTTGCTACTTCATAACTGTAATTTTGCTACTGTTATGAATCGTAATGTAAATATCTGATATGCAGGATGTATTTTCATTGTTACAAATTGAACATAATTAAAGCATAGTGATTAATCACAAAAACAGTATGTAATTATATATGTGTTTTCCGATGGTCTTAGGTGACCCCTGTGAAAGGGTCGTGGCCCACAGGTTGAGAACCGCTGCTTTAAGTGAACCCATCTCAATTTAGTTTAGTACCTTGCTCTGAACACCTTTAATTTTTTTCTTTTGTTAATCCTCAGCCGAGGATATTTTTTTCCCCCATTGCTTTTCAGAGTGAAGGAGGGAAGGCAAGAAAGAGAAAGAGAAACATTGATATGAGAGAGACACATCTATTGGTTGCCTCCCACTGTGCTGGACCTGGGGGTGGGCAGTGAACCAGCAACTCAGATACATACTCTTGACTAAGAATCAATCCTGCTACCCCTTGCTGTGCTGGCTGAGACTCTAACCACGGACCTACACCAGCCAGGGCTGAACACCTTTAATTTCTAATAAACTGCATGTGTCACTACTGCACTTACCTCATTGTGTCCTAATTATTATTATTATTTTTTTAAATGTATTTTATTGATTTTTTTTACAGAGAGGAAGGGAGAGGGATAGAGAGTTAGAAACATTGATGAGAGAAACATGGATCAGCTGCCTCTTGCACACCCCCTACTGGGGATGTACCAAGGTACATGCCCTTGACCGGAATCGAACCTGGGACCCTTGAGTCCGCAGGCCGACGCTTTATCCACTGAGCCAAACCGGTTATGGCTGTGTCCTAATTATTGATTTACTTTTTTTTTGCATCCTCACTACATAAAGTATAATCTACTTTGAGTATGACTCCAGTTCTTTCACACAAACACCAAATCTTTAGGAAACAAAATTGCTTTGGAATCAAATCCATTAAATTCATTTTTTAAATTACTTTTAAGCTATTCCCTGTTTTGAACCTTGAGGATATTAATCTGCTTAATTTTGAAGGGAAAAATATAGTATTCACTGGAAAATACATGTGATACAGTTATATGGTCCAACCTGTTTATGATCCAAGATATATGGGCATCATATTTATTATTTACTATGCCTAATAATATTCTCTTGCATTGTTTATATTAAAATACAGACAGTGGACATTCATAAAGAGAAAGTGGCTCGAAGGGAGATTGGTATTTTGACAACAAATAAGAATACATCAAGAACTCACAAAATAATAGCACCTGCAAATATGGAGCGCCCTGTAAGGTATATTCGGAAACCTATTGACTATACAGTTCTGGATGATGTGGGCCATGGTGTCAAGGTAAGCATTTTTATCGCATTAACTTAAAATAACTTATTTACCCAGTAAATATTTTGGATGGCAAAATGCTGATAAAGATTATTTTCTTGAAGAATTAGTAGATTGTCTTAGTAACTAGCATTACAATTTTCATCGAACACTTATTTAATATTAGCTATGTATTATACCAAAATTGGGCAGAATTTTGGGATAGGCTATATTCAAGAAGCTGTTAAAACTTGAAGTGGGCCCTGGTTGGTTTGGCTCAGTGGATAGAGCGTCGGCCTGCGTACTGAAGGGTCCCAGGTTTGATTCCGGCCAAGGGCACATGCCTGGGTTGTGGGCTTGATCCCCAGTGGGGGATGTGCAGGAGGCAGCTGATCAATGATTCTCTCTCATCATTGATGCTTCTCTCTCTCTCTCCCTCTCCCTTCATCTCTGAAATCAATAAAAATAAAAATAAAATTAAAAAAAAACTTGAAATGGCTATTCATTCATTGAGCTATTTTAATCCTAGACTATATTATAAACTAGAGGCCTGGTGCATGAAATTTGTACATGGTGGGCAGGGGGTGGTCCCTCAGCCCGGCCTGCACCATCTCCAATCTGGTACCCCTCAGGGGATATCCAACTGCTGGTTTGACAAAAATTCAATTTTTTTGTCAAAAACTGGCAGTTGGACATCCCTCTCGAAATCCGGGACCACTGGCTCCTAACTGCTCACCTGTCTGCCTGTCTGATCGCCCCTAACTGCCTCTGCCTGCCAGCCTCATGCCCCTAACTGCTCCCTGCCCGCCTGATCGCCCCTAACTGCCTTCCCCTGCTGGCTTTATCACCCCTAACTGCCCTCCCCTGCAGGCCTGATCGTCCCTAACTGCTCTCCCCTGCCAGCTTGATTGCCTCTAACCACCACCGCCCTGTTGTGTGGGTTCTGGGTGTGGGTATCAGGCTCCCTCCTCCCTCCTGTCAGAGTCTGGAGGATGCCGTGGGACCAAGAGTCCAGTCCCTGCCCACCCACGCATGCCTCGAAATCGCATGAGACCCAGACCAGGCTGGCCCCACCCCCATTGGGTTAGACCCAGACCCGGCTGACCCCACCCCTGTCAAGCCCCACTGCCATGTCAAAGTCTCCGGCTGGCGCTGGGAGGAGACGCAGCATCAGTCATGTTCTCAGCCGGCATCAGGCAGGGACGCAGGCTCCTGCTGATCAGTCGTTACAGCGTGAGGGCATGACGACCATTTGCATATTGGCCTTTTATCATTATAGATTTGTTTTGAATACTATATCTTGTTTTCTCTCTCTTTTTAAAAAAAATATATTTTTATTGATTTCAGAGAGGAAGGGAGAGGGAGAAGGAGAGAGAGAGAGAAACATTAATGATGAGAGAGAACAATTGATAGGCTGCCTTCTGCACCCCTCTACTGGAGATCGAGTGTGCAATCTGGGCATGTATCCTTGACTGGAAACGAACCTGGGATCTTTCAGTCCACAGGCTGACGCTCTATCCACTGAGCCAAACTAGCTAGGGCTTGTTTTCTCTTTTTTTAAAATATATTTTTACTGATTTCAGAGAGTAAGGGAGAAGGAGAGAATGATAGAAACATCAATGAGAGAGAACATCAATTGGTTGCCTCCTACATGTCCTTCACCAGGGATTGAGCCCACAACCCAGGTATGTGCTCAGACCGAGAATCTAACCAGTAATCTCTTGGTGCAGGGGTCGATGCTCAACCATTGGGCCACACCAGCTGGCTTAAATTCAGTTATTTTAGACTAGATTTTTAAGATATTTTTAGACCAGATTGATCTATAGGATTTGGATTTTGAGAGGCTGGAAGAACTTTTTTGTATTATTTAACTTGTCTTTGGATTAAAATTTATATCTTACACATATATATATGTAAGTGCACACACACTCACTCATTTATTCACTCACTTGTTCCACTTTTGCCCAATCTTGATTTTTCTTCCTACCAAAGCAATATACACTCATGAATAAAGTTTTATCATCCTCTTAGAATATCTTCTATTGTCCCTTCAGTAATAATTGTTTAATACACAGTACTTAGCATAGTGTAAGATGAAACCACATTTTACAGGGAATGGGTGAGAATATTCAACTATTTTATATATGTATAAATGGGAAGTATAAACAGCATCATCTATACTGAAAGTATACAGATGTGAGTTTTGGCAGTCTACTTTTTTGTAATACAGGTGTTTTAGACTCGGGATTTTTTTAAACTTTAAAAAAATTATGGTAAAATATAATCACATAAAATTTACCACTTGAAGTATACAGTTCTGTGGCATTAAGCACATTCATATTGTTATGCAGACTTTTTTAAAATGTATTTTTTTCTTTTTAGATTACAGTTTATATACCACATAATATTAGTTTTAGTTATACATCTCAATGATTATATAACTTACTAAGTGATCATCCGGATAAATCTCATACTCATCTGACACCATGTATAGTTATTAGATTATTATTGATTGTATTTCCTATGCTGTACTTTACATCTCCATAACTAATTGTTACTACCAATTTGTACTTCTTAATCCCTTCACCTTTTTCACCCATCCCCCAACCCTCCTCCTACCTGGCAACCCTCAAAGTGTTTTCTGAGTCTGTTCTGCTTGTTTGTTTAATTTATTTTTAAATTAAATTGTTGATAGATATGTATTTGTTGTCATTTTATTGTTCATATTTTTTATATTTTTCCCCCTTCTTAAATAAGACCCTCTAATATTTCATGTAAGACTGGTTTGGTGGTGATGAGCCCCTTTAGCTCTGTCTTGTCTAGAAAGCTCTTTATCTGTCCTTCCATTCTAATTGATACCTTTGCTGGGTAGAGCAATCATGGTTGTAGGTGCTTATTTTTCATTACTTGGAATATATTTTGCAAATACCTTCTGGCCTGTTGTTTTTGTTGGGAAATCAGCTGACAGTCTTTTGGGAGCTCCCTTTTGGTAACTAACTGCTTTTCTCTTATTGCTTTTTGTTGTTGTTAATCCTCACCAAAGGATATTTTTTCCATTGATTTTTATTTAGAAGGAGTGGAAGAGAGAAGGGGAACGACTGAGAGGAAAAAACATCGATGTGAGAGAGACACATTGATTGGTTGCTTCCTGTGCATGTCCTGACCTGGGTTGGGGATCAAACCTGAAATCCAGTTACTGCAAACCAGGTACGGGCCTTTGAACGGGAATTGAATCTGTAACCCATAGGTGTATGGGCCAGTGCTCAAACTACTGAGAACACCACAACTAGGGCTCTCTTGCTTTTTTTTTTTTTGGTTAATTCTCATCTGAGGCTGTTTTTCACTGATTTTTATTTTTTAAGAGAGAGTGGAAGGGAGAGAGGAAGGGTGGGGGGAGAGAAACATCGATGTGAGAGAGACACATTGATTGGTTGCCTCCCACACACACCCCAGTCAGGGCCAGGTATTGAACCTGCAACCCAGGTACATGCCCTTGACTGGGAATCAAACCTACAATCCTTCTGTGTGTGGGCCAAAGCTCTAACCACTGAGTTACACTCGCCAGGGCTCTTGATACTTTAAAAATTCTCTCTTTGTCTTTAACCTTTTGCATTTTAATTATGATGAATCTTGGTATAAGTCTCTTTGGGTTCATCTTGTTTGGGATTCTCTGTGCTTCCTGGAGTTGTATGTCTATTTCCTTCACCTTGTTAGGAAAGTTTTCTGTCATTTTTTCAAATAGGTTTTCAATTCCTTGCTCTTTCTCTTCTTTTAGCACCCCCATGATATGAATGTTGATATGCTTGAAGTTATCCCAGAGGATAACTTTACATTATACTTATATTTTTGGATTCTTTTTTTTCTCTCTTCTGATTGGGTGTTTTTTGCTTCCTTCTATTCCAAATTTCTGTTTTGATTCTTGGCTTCATCTACTCTACTGTTGATTTCCTGTAAATTATTCTTCATTTTCGTTAGTGTATCCATCATTTCTGACTGGTTCTTTTCTATGGTTTCCATGTATATTTTTATGCTGATGAAGTCCTCTCTAAGTTTACCTACTCTTCTCTTAGGTTCTTTGACATCCTTATGAGCAATGTTTTGAACTCTGCATCTAGTAGATTGCTTGAATCCATTTTGTTTAGTTCTTTTTCTGGTATTTTGTTCTGTTCTTCCATATGGGACATGTTTCTTTGTCTCCTAATTTTTGCAGCCTCACTGTTTTTTCTTTTTCTTTCTATGTATTAGGTAGAATTACTATGTCTTCCTGTCTTGATAGAGTGATCTAATGTAGTAGGTTCTGTAGGGTCCAGTGGCACAGCCTCCCTGTTTAGCTGAGCTGGGCACTCTAGGAGTGCCCTTTATGTGGGCTTTGGTATACCCTCCTGTTGTTGTTGAGTCTTAATTGCTGTTGACACAGAAAGGGGAAGGATTTATTCCAAGATTGATCAGTTGCAAGGACTGGCTGTGACCATTGTGGAGTATCAGCTATGCAGGGTCCCACCCCACAGAGCAGGATTTCATCAGGTCTTTGGTGTCTGCTGAGTCCACCCCTTGAGTGTGTGGCTCGTGGAGGTGATTGGGTGGTGCTTCAAGCTGGTCTGAAGCTGTCTAGTGGGTGTGCTTGTTCTGGGGACTACCCGGAGGTATAGGACAAGGTCAGTCACTATCTGTGTTCTGCCTAGGGCAGCGGTTCTCAACCTGTATGTTGCGACCCCTTTGGGGGTCTAATGACCCTTTCACATGGGTTGCCTAAGACCATCGGAAAACACATATATAATTACATATTATTTTTGTGATTAATCACTATGCTTTAATTATGTTCAATTTGTAACAATGAAAATACATCCTGCATATCAGATATTTACATTACGATTCATAACAGTAGCAAAATTACAGTTATGAAGTAGCAACGAAAATAATTTTATGGTTGGGGGTTACCACAACATGAGGAGCTGTATTAAAGGGTCGCGGCATTAGGAAGGTTGAGAACCACTGGCCTTGGGCCACCCAAAATGAGCTACAAAGCAATCTGCAGATGGCTGGTATTTATGCTAGGCTTTGAGGTGAGGTGCCCAGGAGAGAGCAAGCTATGAACCAAGCCGGCTGCCACTATTGCTGCGCCTGGTACTACTTAGTGAGAGGTGCAGGGCATGCAGAGGCCAGATGCTGCTTGTTTGAGGGATTATTGGAAAGTCTGACACAGGAGCCAAGACTGGCTATTCCTATGTAAAAGCCAGGGAAACAGCTTGGGTGGGCCTGCAAGTTGGGTGGGGTCAGGGGGGGTCTTAGGGCAGGGCATACCCTTTTAGACAGTTGGATGGAGACTTGGATATGTCATTTGTTGGCTCATCAATGGCCTCTGCCAGCACTCCTGTCAGGGAGAAAGCTGCTCCTCCAGCTCTCGCCCCGATGTCATATAGTTCAGTTCCCCTCTGTATGTCCCTGGTGCATTTCAGGCTGCTGTCCCAATGCTGGAACTCAGAGTTCAAGTAAGTCTGTGTGTTCCTTTTTAAGAGGAACATCTGGGTCTCCAGTAGCCCTCCATTTCAGCCACAGTGCTTGCTGTTTGTTTGTTTTTAAAGAGAGAGGAAGGGGGGGGGCGAGAGAGAGAGAGAGAAACATTGATGTGAGAGCAGAACTTCAATAAGCTGCCTCATGCATGCCCACCACCAGGAATCGAGCCCACCACCAAGGCATGTGCCCTGACTGAGAATTGAACCAGCAACTTTTTGGTGCATGGTCAATGTCCAACCAGCTGAGCCACACCAGCCAGGGCTCCTCCCAATTTTTAACCACCACATGTGGTTGTGATACCAGCCTATTCTGAGTATTCACCCCTCCTACCAGTCTCAAAAGTGGTTTCTTCTTTATATCCTTAGTTGTAGGACTTCCCTTCAGCTAGATTTCAGGCGGGTCTGAATGATGATTGTTCTGTAGTTTAGATGTAATTTTGATGTGGATATGGGAGGATTCAAGTACCACATTTATCTACTCTGCCATCTTGACTGGAAGCCTTAAAATCTATTTTTGACTGGGGTAGGAGGATGAGTGGTCTGTCAGAATAGTGTATCTTAGAAGCTTTTATGTGGCATATATGTTCATATTTTGTTTGTGTGTTATACAGATACAAACATTTGTTTTTTTCACCAATAGTGTATTGATTTTTTTTATTTCTCCACTTTTCTGATTTTTTAAAAAAGATCATTGTGTCCTGGACAGTTTGCTTAGTGGTTAGAGCATCAGCCTGTGGACCGAAGGGTCTCGGGTTTGATTCCTGGTCAAGGGCACATAGCTGGCTTGCAGGTTCAATCCCTGGCTTTCAGTCAGGGTGCATGCAGGAGGCAACCAATCAATGTGTGTCTCTCACATCATTTTTGCTCTGTCCCCCTCCCCTTCTCTTTCCCACTCTCCTCCCCTCCAACTTTCCCTTCCACTCTCTAAAAATCAATGGAAAAAATGTCCTCAGATGAGGATTAGAAAAAAAGAAGTCGTTGCTTACTTAATTATTTCTAACATATATTATATCCAAGGATAATGTTATTCAGGTTTAATTTCTAAAACCAGGTGTAAAATATAGTGGCTAGGTAGAATTCCAGACATTGTTTCCAGATAAAAATGAGCAATATCATTCTAAAGACGGGTACATTCCTCTTTAGGATAATATCCTTACTGTTGTCTTTAGGATCACCTAAAAAATGTTAGATATATATTTAGAACAGCACATATTATGGAAAGAACTTGAAACCCCTAAAATCTATAAAAAGTTAGATTCTGCAACATGACAGTGTTCTTAAGTGGCATAGCACTTATACTGTTGCCTTAGGACTGTACACATTATTTCATACTAGAGGCCTAATGCATGATATTTGTGCAAGGGGCTTGTCCCTCTCCATCCTGGCTTCATCTGGAAGGTCATTCGGCTGTCTGGTCTAATTAGCCTATTATGCTTTTATTACTATAGATTATTCATATATGTACATGTGTTCATATTAATACATATGTATGTGTTATTTGATATGTAGACTAGATGCCCAATGCACGAAATTTGTTCAAGAGTAGGCTAGCCTTCCCCTGGCTGCCAGCACCGCTTCACCCTGGCACATGGGACCCAGGCTTCCCTTGCAGCCCCAGCTTCGTCCTGAAGGTCGTATGAAAGGACGTCTGGAAGGATGTCCGGTCTAATTAGCATGTTATGCTTTTATTATTATAGAAGACTAGTCATGTTTCATAGAAGTAGCCTTTAAGATCAAAGCAGCTTCGCACGGCCTGTGTAGCTCAGTGGTTGAGTGTCGATCTACTAACTCATGGTTTGATTCCCTGTCAGGGTACATGCCTGGGTTGTGGGCTTTTGTGGGATGTGAGGAAGCAGCTGATCTATGAATCTCTCATTATTGATGTTTCTATGTCTTTCTCCCTCTCTCTTCCTCTCTGAAATAAATAAAAATACATTAAAAAAATAAAGTTAAAAAAAGATCAAAGCAGCTTTTCTTCAGTTTTGAATTCGGGCTAAACTGGTTCAGAAGGTATTGGCCTGCTTAAATTTGGATCCATCAAGTTACAAACAGGAGGGTTTCCAGACTCTATTTCGTAGTTAAAACCTGGCTGAGGTATTAACCTGCATAGTGATTTTGTTTTTAGACTTGGAGGAGTTTCGTCATTTTTCTGAATTTGAAGCAACCTGTTATTTTGAATTGTAATATTTGCAGTTTACCACTTTAAAAAATACTATACTACTTTTCAAATAATCAGTACTCATATTTATGCATTTGTTATCCAGTAAAGTCTTAGGTCTTGTACACTGATGTATTAAAGTAGCCTTAAATATTATGTGTTTTGGTATTTGTTTTCAAATCGAAGTTTATCATCTGTGATTTATTTAGAATAGGTCCATAGGATAAAATACAGAACTAAGAAATTATTGGGTCTGTATGAGATTGGCATAAATAAGTGGTAGTTTCCTTATGAATATATTCTTCTTTTGAAAAATATGTGATACACATGAATATTTCCCAGCTGCTAATGGATATCTTTTTCTTTACAAAATATTTGAAGTAATGGCTGGGTAAAAACTTACTAACAGGAAATGAATAACTGTAAACATAAACCTGTCCTATTAGGTATAACATATTTAGAATTAATTTCTACTTTTTCCCCCCCCTTTTTTGCCAACGTAAAGTGGCTAAAAGCCAAGGTAAGAGATATTATTTATCATTTGATACACAGTTTTACCTCTATATTGATAGAGGCTGCAGAGCCACTAAAATTTGAAAACTCTTCCTTCATCTGCCTGCTTTTCCCCCATAGGATGTATATAGATTAAATATACTCAAACTCAATACAAGTAGCTACATTTAGCTTGGATGTGTTAATATATCAAAGATATATTGACATCTGCATTTATATAGGAACATTAATTTTGCTAACATGAATTGCTTTGCTTATTTTTTGATAGTTGCCTTGCTTTTATTGACATAAACAGAAGGTTTCCCAGACATCATATATGACTTTGTTTCTTAGTTTTTAGGATAAAGATAATTTTTTAGATGAATATTTTAGCAAATTGACACAGATCTATAGTTGAAATTCATGCACACATTTTTAAAAATTTTAGGAAACTTCATATTTGAATGCAGATAAGTTTGATCTCAGTGAACATGTTTAACAATAAAATAATATATAAAATCCAATAATTTCACCTGTATTTTGCCATAGATTGGTATGAATAATAGAAAAAGCCAAGTGCAATTGGTTTCTTGACATTTTAAAATGTAGAACCAAAGTCTGTTGTTAAAACTGTCTGGGAATCCTTACTTCACATTCTGATATTAAAAATAATAACTTCGTATCAAAACACCAAGAGAACAATTTGATATAAAAATAAAAGCTCTTTTTCCTGCATTATAGCATGGAAATAACCAGCCTGCAAGAACTGGCACACTGTCGAGAACAAATCCTCCTACTCAGAAACCACCAAGTCCTCCCATGTCAGGCCGGGGAACATTGGGGTAAGAATTCAAGTAAATTTTACAAGAAAATTCATATAGTAAAGGAAAAGATGATTCTGTGACTTAAGTAAATGTAGAGGTTCTTGCTATGGACCCCTCTCAGTGTGACACTACCTTTTACAAATTCATTTTGGTGCTTATTTGCATGAGCAGAATCCAAAATTAATCTACTTGTTTTATAGTATTCTCTTCTATGGAAGTCTGTACTAGACAAGTTCTTTTGTGTATCTGGAAATGTGCATTATTTATTTATCTTTTTAATTCCTTTAAAAAAAAAAGAGCAATTTGACTTAAGTTTATTTCAAATGAAATGACCAGTGTATTCATTCTATGTTGTGCTTTCACAAGTATTTACAATATTTATATTACAGAACTTTGAATAAGTGGTCTATTTTGTATAGTTTGGCTTGGTGACCTGCAGCTTTTCTGTTTCCTCTATTACTTTCTACTTAAGATTTAGAGGCTCTTTACCTGAAATATTTCTAACGGTGCTTGTGCTAGGTAATCTTAGGACCCTTCATATTTTTTATTTTATTTATTTTTTTTAATCTTTATTGTTGAAAGTATTACATAGATCCTCTTTTTTCCCCCCATTAACCTCTTCCAGCCCACTCCCATGCCTTGCCAGGCCCTCACCACACCATTGTCTGTGTCCACAGGTTTTGCATACTTCTCACCACACTGTTGTCTGTGTCCATAGGTTTTGCATACTTCATACTTTAGTAGCTTTGTGAGAAGGCCAGTTGGGGAGCAAAAAAAAAGATAACCATTGGTGGTGTTTTCCTTCTCAGTTCTTTGCGCAATAAAATATGTGAATATTTGGTAGGACACTTCTGAAAGATTGTTCACCTTAACATAGAAAATAATAAATTAGAGCTTTTTTTTTAGTGGAGGGCTGGGAAATAATTATTTCATAGTAATAGGGATCAACAATCAGCCTTTTTTTAAATAGACTCTTGGTTTTTATTTTCATTCTGTAAACTCCTTACCCCTGCAAAAAATACATGAAGTTATGAAATAGAAAAGTTAAAATCATTTATTGAAAAATGAATGGTATTACATCTAGAATCAGAATGTGCTAAACTTGTCCATTGTCTATAAATTTTTATAATGAGGTAAGAATAAATTGCAGAGGAGATATTTAGTTTTCATAATGTACAAGGACAGTGGCTTATGGGTGACTGAACTGGGAATAATATATATGTCAAAGTTTGATATTATTGAGCATTTCAAAAATTATAACCATTATATTTAGAAGTAGGATTAATACTTTTAAATTACCCTTTCCTATGAAAAGGTAACACATTTTAGTTTTTGTGAAAAGTAACAAAAATTCATTTATTCCAATTAAGAATTTTTTAAAATAATCTTTATTATTAAAAATGTTTTTAAAACTTGTTTTCTAATTCTGGCTGAGTAGCTCACTCAGTTGGTTTGAATGTTGTCCTAATACGCCCAAGTTATGGGTTTGACCTGTCAGGGCATATACAAGAGGCAGCCAATGCATAAATAACAGGTTGATGTTTTTTTCTTTCTCTCTCATTAATAAATTAAAAACACACACAATAAAACACTTGTCTTCTACTTGGTTACAAAGGGACAATCACATGTGAGGGGAAATGCCATTTTATCTTATTCATTATTCCTTTCTTTGACACTTCTTTAGACGGAATACGCCTTACAAAACCCTGGAACCTGTTAAACCTCCAACAGTTCCTAATGACTACATGACCAGTCCGGCTAGGCTTGGAAGTCAGCATAGCCCAGGCAGGACAGCTTCTTTAAACCAGAGACCGAGGACACACAGGTAATCCTTCAGGTTGAGTCTTTGACCATTTGCAAGTTGGGATTATTAACTGGTCACAAACCCTATACAGTTGCTGAGTAAAGTACTATACCGTTAACACAGAGTATAAAAGTTGAGGTAATAATATTGTATAAGTTTCTGTTATAACTTCTGGGGTTTTTTAGATTTTTAAATATATATTTAAACTATAAGCAGGTTGCTACTATTTCTTCCTTTTGACAGGGGTTCAGATATGTATTTGGACATAAGCTAACGAATGTTTTTTAAAACAGTCTTTTAAAATGATTAAAGTAACTACTCTTAAATATAGGGTGCCCCAAAACAATGAAAATGTATACAAACTTAACAGCTGATAGCTCCATTGATGTTTATTTCTTTTCAGATTTAACCTATTGGAATTAATATTATTCAAAATGTGTGTACATTTTTCGAGGGCATTCTGTATTTTGGGATAATAGGTTAAATATCAGGAATTATACAATGTGATTTAAGCTTTAAGAGGTTAGAAAAAGGAAGACCTAGCTTAGATCTGAGAAAGAATTTAATAGAGTTGGTATACTCTAGAGCAGTGGTTGCCAGCCGGTGGTCCGTGAAGTCTGAAAGGTTGGTGACTGCTGGTTTAAGGAAACCTTTGGAGCAGGTTGGCGACTGCTGCTCTAGAATATGTTATTGTATGTACTGTTTTTTAAAAATTTCTAGAAATCAACTGCCCAGTGGGTTTTCAAAAACTTGGTTTGGGAACATAACATAAATTTAGAAAAGTATTATTCAGTATGTAACTTAATGGGTTAAGACAATTTGAACACATTGGTGTAACCATCACCCGAGTCAGAAAATGGAACATTACCAACAATCCAAAAGTCCCCCTTAGACCCTTTCCTAACTATCACCTCTACCTTCTCCCCCCAGAAGTAGCCACTCCATTTTGGGGCACTTTATAAAGATACGTTGTATAGTTTATTTTATTCTTTAATTTTACCTCCCACTTAACTTGGGGAAGAACCTCTCCTTACCTTTACTTTTGGGTTGGTATATTAGAGGTAAAACTTATCAGAATTGCCCAGCCAGCATGGCTCAGTGGTTGAGCGTTGACCTATGTACCAGGAGATTGCGGTTCGATTCCTGTTTGGGGGACATCCCTGGGTTGGGGGTTCAGTTCCCATTATGGGGCGTGCGGGAGGCAGCCAATCAATAGTTCTCTCTCATAATTGATGTTTCTGTCTCTCTCTCCCTCTCCCTTCCTCTCTGAAATCAGTAATAATAATTTAAAAAACTTAGCAGAATCATTTTTTGTGTTTCAACTAAAGAGGGTATCTGGCTCTTAGATTCTGTGTAATTGACATTTGTTGTTATTGCTGCTGTTAGTAAATAAACGCTTACATTGGTATATGCAGTTACTATATCAGGTCAAGTTCAGTGAGTACCACAAGTGTTCTTTTCTATGTTTGTTATTGAATTTATATTAAAACATGGTTTT